CAGCAAAATGAACCGCCAACTATTCCAGCATATGTTTAACATAGGGGATGCCCTTCCAGCTGCAACCCATCACTGAGAAACACCCATACACACTCTCTCTCTCTCTCTCTCTCACACACACACACACACTCATAAACTACGGCCAAATTAGTTCATCAATTCCCCTATGGCGCATGTGTTTGGACTGTGGGGGAAACTGGAGCACCCAGAGGAAACCCACACCAACACTGAAAATGTCCCACCGAAATGCCAACTGGCCCAAATGGGACTTGAACCAGTGACCTTCTTGCTGTGAGGCCACAGTGCTAACCACTGAATCACTGTGCCGCCCTATATATAAATTAGTACAGATAAATAATATATTAGGAAAAATTATATAAAGTTGAAGTTAGAATTATTAGCCCCCTTGTTTATTTTATTCCCCAATTTCTGTTTAAAGGAGAGATTTCTTCAGCACATTTCTAAACAAAATAGTTTTAAAGAGCCCATATTATACATGAAATAGGGTCATATCTTGGTTGTAAGGGTCTCCAACAACAGTCTAATATGCATGTAAGGTCAAAAAACACTTTCATGGTCTTAAAATCTGCATTTATTTTGACCTATTTATTCCAGCGACTCCCGTATGAATCGTCCAGTGATTCATTTATTCCCAAACCCTGCTTAGCGCGAAGCTAATCTGCGCTGATTAGACCGATGACAGTCTGTTGCGATTGGTCGATACCGACTGCCTTCAGTGCAAGACAGAGTGAAATGCCCAGCAGCTAATCAACATTATAAAAGTAGTCACAGTTCATACACGCTCGATAGTGTAAAGCGTGGAGTTTAGCTGCCAGTGGATGAATGTAAACACAGACGATGGACTTGAAATACAGACGACTAACTATTCTATTGAGCAAAAACTCCAAGAACTGGCGAGAAGATCTCCTAGCTTGTCACATTCTGCTCTTTTCACAGACACACACACACACACATTGCCCTCGTCCTTGCGTGCACACACACACACACACATTATCCTCCTCCACGGAACGTAAACAAAGCGGCTAACGTGGCTTTGCACGTGATACGAGAATATAGCGAGTTAAGGCTGATTTACACTTCTGCATCAACTGCACGCGTATGCTACGGCGTTGACACATAGCTCTACGCCATGGCCGTCGGCATTGCTGACGTGCACCTCTCAAAAAATGTAACTACTCGTCGCAACGACACGTAGCGCAAGCTCTGTGATTGGTCGGCTTGGTATCGCTGACGAGTCTGGAGGGACCGAGAGCCGCGCGAATGGCGCGAGCCAGATGGAGCGATTGTTTACAAGTGTGGAGTCCCGTGAAGGAGCTCCGGATGGAAAGTTTTGTTCTGTGTTTACCTCATAGTTAAAGTTGTTGCATTTGCAAGCTAGAGTAAACGAGGCAACAACTTTAATCGCACGTACTTACACTTGAGAAATGGAGGAAGAAACCCATCCAGGTTCTGACACAGTCCATCAGTACTCTACTCTTTACTAATCCTTCCTTTAACAAATGGCCGATGATGTATTCTTTGTAGCATGTAGTTTCCAGAAGTTTCCAGTAGTTTCCAACCAATGACTGTAAAAAATATGGACGACGCGACAGCCCCTTTTCTCATTGAACGCTTTGAGGGCAAAACGCCTGCTTGACGGGCACAAACTGTCGCAAAAGACTGCTGAAACTGGAGCCTTGACATGCGCAGAAGGACTGTCTGATGGAGCCAGAGGAGGAGCCGCGAAAATGAGCAGAGTCGAGCTTCCAACCAAACGCTTTATGTAAAATCAACCACGCCCCCCGAGCTTCTGAGCATGCGTTTGCTGTAGCCTGTCATATCAACACAAATGGATGTAATAACGTTAACAAATATGAGGGTTTTATATATTCCTACTCGCGGCATCGCGGGCTGATTCCGGCTCGCATGCGGCAGCGCCGGCTCGCTCGGCCGCCGCATCTGGCTCGATTGACTCGGGCTGGAATCAAGCAGTGAGTCCAGGCATCCGGAGTAGGTCCAGCAGAGGTAGTCAGTCTGAGCTCTGAGGGGTAAAGCCTGGTTTATACTTCTGCGTCAAGTGACCGGCGTAACCCTCGGCGCATGCAACGCGTGTAGCTGTGCATTTATACTTCTGCTGCTGTCTCTGTTGGTCTGCATTAACACTTCCGAAACGCTAGTTGGCAGTGAGGTGTAAATGTTCCTCTGTGTCGAGGTTCTTCGCTTCTGTTTTGCGTTTCCTGAGCACTTCCTGGTTGTAGAAGTGACTTAAACTCGCTCATTTTGAGGCAGGAAACGGCGGACGTGCAACAACTTTAACTATGAGGTAAACACAAAACAAAACTTTTCATCCGGAGCTCCTTCACGGTACTCCACACTTGTAAACAATCGCTCGCGCCATTCGCGCGGCTCTCGGTCCCGCCCAGACTTGTCAGTGCTACCAAGCCGACCAATCACAGAGCTTGCGCTACGCATCATTGCGACGTGTAGTTACATTTTTTGAGAGGTGCACGTCAGCGACGCCGACGGCCACGGCGAAGGGCTATGCGTTAGCGCCATAGCATACGCCGGCGTTTGACGCTGAAGTATAAATCAGCCTTAAGTCTTCGGCTGGAACTGGCCCTAGTGTATTTTGCTATCTGGGTGGCTAGGCGTACGTGTATCAGCAAACTAATAAAGCCCGAAAAAAGCCCTGAACTTAGCGAATAAACAGTGTTCCACCAGGATCATGTATGTCAGAAACTGTAGTTTACTGCTGAACTCATTTTGTCATGGTAAAATAACACAGAAATCAAATAATAACACTTCAGTCTCCTGCCGAAGCTCAGACGCGCTGCTTTGAGAAACTGTCAATCACAGCTGTCAATCACGATGACACGCCCAGCATTAAATTACTGCTAAAAACAAACTGTTTACACAAATGAAGATCTGCACCTATTTCAGCACAATAACCAGTGCCTTAATCGACCAGAACCATCTTTCGGGACAGTTTATTGCAAGTGTAATTAATTTTTTTTATTAATTACGTCTCCTTCATTAACACGGAGGAGGCGGGCTTTATGACTTGTACTGCAGCTAGCCCCCAGGGGGCGATCTAACGGCCGAGACCTTCACTCAAACGCAGGCTTGCGGCACACTTGTTTCCAACTGCTCAAGGGTTATAATGCTGAGGTTTCATCTTTGGGTAGAGACTCAATAATATCCATCTGCAGAGTGACTTCAATTGACCGGCATGTTTGTGTTTGTGTGTGTGTGCGTGGGTTTCTGTGTTAGAGGGCGGGGCTGCATGCTTCAAATCTCCCTGGATTTCGCGTGCGCGTGAATAACTTGATTTCGTTATTAGGTCATGGCGAAACACCTAATGACTCAAAATAAAAGAAATAAAGCTGAATTGACTTTAACTAAATTTAGCATATTTGGATGGTGAGAGAAAACCAGG